AGTCCAAGCTGGCATCACTGCTCAGTGCTCGCCAGTCCCGCCACCGTAAAACCACAGTAGAAAGTGCAAACAAACCTTTCGTTTATCAGTTGCTCGTAAAGTTCTTTTCTCTAGCATTGGGCTGTGAAATATATAAAAATTACTTTCAAATTGTTAGAAACGTAAATATCTATTTGCCTAATATACACAATTATAGCATAATTGAGAGAGAGACTGTACTTGTGTTGAGTAGTTTTAATTGTAACCTTATTTAACCTAAAATTGCAATATACTCTTTACACACATTATTTAAATTGTCTGCGATAATGCAGTTACATTTACGAATTTTACGCAACAAGATTAATATTTGACAACAAGGAAGGAAAGACAGTTGCAAGTGAAGCTATGTCGAACCAGTCAAGCTCCAAGTCGGCTCGGAAAATCACAAAGTCTAGCGTGGTATGTGATTTGCTGACAGTGTTGATAATATTTAAAATTATATAGTCAAGTATGATGTTTTATTTCTAGGGCAAGGCTATAAAACTCATAATGGAACGTAACGTGGAGAGAAAAAAGAGTGGAACAAGTACGAAGGAAATTGCAAATAGTCTGAAAGTTGCCCATTATTGTAAAAGGTTCAACGGCGATAAGAAAAGTAGAACGTCAGTGGTAGGATTTTCAAAGAGCTTGGCACTGTTAGAGATGCGGTCCTATATCGCCCGTCAAGACTGGAAACATGCGTTAAATTTATTTCTTAGACTTGTCGAATACCCTGTTGAATTAGAGCCTTTAATATGGAGATACGCATTTATAATTTTATTACATACAAACGATACATCGCATCTCCATAGATTCTTCGAACAATGTATTGGTAGTCATTCAAATAATAGCGCTTTGTTAGAAAAGTTATTGTCATTGCCTCTAAAGGATGAGGATTGATTTCGTCTTTCAATGTATACTTGTAATACCGTACGTCCGTGTTAAGTCATGTAATATATAGTACATTTGTTAGATACAAATCTTTGTACAATGATTGCATTACATCTGATTATATTATATGCCGCACGATACGTTTCTTGTACATTCTTTAATAGCGCAATTAGATTATTTTATACATAATTATATTTATACATAAACATTGAATAGAAAAGCAATTCATGACATTACTACTCCAAGTATTATACAATTAGATATCTATGATAATCTTACACACTTTTCATTCATCCTCGTCAGTTGTCTCTATCCGTAACTCGCCGATGCGTGACCGCATGATTCTACAAGAAAGATGTATGATATCTATGTAGTAACTCTTATACACTATGTACAATTGTAATTTTTGATTATTTGTTAAAGCAGTCGATTCTAGCATTGATACTTGAAGAATTTTTAAACAAATATTTTAATTTTTCAGATTTTTACAAGAAATTGATTGAAAATGATATTATTTTTCTCTGATCTTACCAGTATGATTGTTATTTGTACATACGAATGCATTAGCTGAACCGAACGGGGCTACAATCACTTGGGGAAAATATTCGAAATAATGTAATAACTTCTTAATGTAAAATGTCTCTTATCAAGTAAAATATCAATTATTAAAATTAATCTCAATTAAAGAAATTGTATCATTACATTCCCCTTATAATAATTTTTCAAACGAATTATTTAGAAAAATTAAAATACTTAATTCCCTGTCTATTGAATTAACAGTATTTCTTGATTTTTAGTTTGACGAACGCTACGAAATTATACACTTAATACTATTATTGTTCCAGAATGAGATAACAGTAATGGAACATAAGGCAATAAAATCCATATGCCAAACATTAACAAACTTATTACCATCGTTACTTCGATATGTCAATATACGATATTTCTTTATCTTCATGATATAACGATCTGATAACGCATGAAGGTTGTTGTTGATGATTATGATGATGATGATAATGATGATGATGGTGGTGGTGGTGATAATGATGACGATTACAAAACTTGTAATGTACACAACAGGGTGGTGCAGCAACTGCAGTAATAAATAGATGAATGAAAGAAAGCTCGGTAAGATGTACGCTGGTCAGTCAAGGGGTAAATGAACACGTGAGTCGCTAGCTGCTAATTTAACGAGTGTCTTCTTCACTCTAAGAATGGGTAGCCTGGCCGCTGGTTTTCCGTGCCAACATTCTCGCATTAACTTGCCCATTCCAGCCAGAGTCTGTGAAGGGAGCATTTAATTTAATTAAACATACTAACGCAATGATAACGTAATAAACGTGGAACTTGGTCTAATTAACTGTGGTCTGACTTTGTTCTGATAAGGTAAAAGAGAAAAGGAAATTACCGGGTCAGAGTGCCACCTGTTAGGAAGTGGCGGCCTTCGCTGGTCAAACGAGACCAATTTACGCATTTCTTCTATGGAGGGTTCTTGATTGCTACTTGGCAACCATTCGCTGTACGGTATTGCGTATTCTAAAGCTACGCCATTACTTATGCATCTGCGACAGACTTCCCACAGTATCAATCCTAAGCTGTAGATATCGGCTCGTCTGAAGCTCTCCAAACATTCGACGTTTACCCTGAAAAAGTAACAACGCGGAATAAGCACGACCGAGATTGAAGCAATTTGTATGAATTTGAAGAAAGCAAGCTTCACTGACGTCTGTTCGAGAATTTCAGGACTCATATAGCGTTTCGTTCCTTGCCGCAAATCGACTCTGTCTGCTACGAGACGATCCTGCGTAGCTGCCAACGCAAAGTCGGCAATTACACAACCACCGTTGGTTTTGACCAGGATATTCTTCGATTTGAGATTGCGATGGGCCATAGCTGGTTTCCCTTTGGTGCCATGAATCTCCGTATGCAGATAGAGCAAACCGTTGGCGATACTCAGGCAAATGTTGAGCGTTTGATGAGGTGTCAATGGATGCGGCGACCGATTGAGGTGATCGAAGAGAGAGCCGAGAGGATGATACTGCATCACCAACCAGAGTTGGGTGCAACTAGCTCTACTGGTCATATCACTACCGATATATCCTAAGATATTGTCGTGTCTGGACGGCAATAGTTGCGAGTAAACCTCGGTCTCTCGAGCCCACGAAGCTTCGTCTCGCGAGAAATAAATTTTCACAGCTACATTTTCGCCGTGCCAAACTCCTCTCCACACTTCTCCGCCGAATCCACCGCTGCTACCGTTGCCAAGACACTCTACTAAAGCTACTTGCTTAGCTAAGGTCCTTTGTACTAACAAGGGTAATCCAGAACCAGAACCACTGGTCAAACTTCGCCCATCTAGATACTCCTGCAAATGTATACTTGGCATTAATTCACTGTCGTGTCGCTCATTATACATAATAAAGAAGCTGTACGCACTTTAAGCGTACTGTCACCAGCAGCCGTTGCTCTAAGCTCGTGCGGATGATACGTGGCAGATGACGTCGGCGAGGAAAAAGAAAAGTGCAACATGGAAGGCTCAATCTCGGAATCTAGAATAAGCTTGTTTCGACGCGAGGCCATTGGTCGTTTCCTTCGTATTCGATGTGCCAGCAGACTGAGTATAATCCCTCCAACCACAAGTAATCCGACCAGTGGTCCAAGAATCGCGAATGTTAACTTTATTACATAATATTCCTTGTCAGCATCTGAAAGCAATATACCCGTGTTATTTTTCCTTCTCCGAGCTAATTATTTTATGTCTCACTAGATGATCTCACTGGTTGAATAGTCCTCCAATTTGGGATATGGCCCGACGTTGCAAAAGTCCGCTTGACAACACTCCACCGAAAATTGAACGCCGCTCGAAAGCCTTCTATGAAACCCTCTAATATTCCTCCTTTCGTGTTGATCTGCATTTTGGCCACTTTCCTTGTCGCACATCAATAGTTTATGTTCCTCCGATTTGTAGCAGCCACGGCTAACGGACTCTGTACCGTCGGCTTCTCTCACCCTGGACTTCCAACACTTCGGAACAAAGGAACGCATTTAGCACACGTTCGAAAACAAATGTAAATCTAAAGAAATGTACGAGAATATTTACAGTGATTGCATCGGTGCAGATAACGGATGGCAAACATTCGGAATTGTCGCATATATGACATTTGTAAAGCTTTTGGCCGATTGCATTCAAACCGAGATCATCGGAAGGTTCGGGCTCAGGTAGATCCAATTTCTCATTGTCAAAAGAAATACCTTGGACTTGCAAAGCAATCTCTCGTTCACCTGAAACGTTCATTCACGACGTCAAATACACTGCAAGTTTGATTTTATACGTGTGTATATACAGGGTGTCAGACTCGTTCGTAGCCAAAGTAAAAATTACGGTAGTTATCGTGCAATTGACAAAAACGCCCGGCCTTCCGCTCCTTGTGCGCTCATTCGGCCAGACGTTCCGATCAATTGCGCGATAACTACTGCTAATTTCGCAAAACGGTACATGACTTTTCTTCTCAGTTTAACCCAGTCTACCGTAACTTTTAGCTTGGCTGCTACCGAGTCCGACACCTTGTAGAAAAGAGACAAGGATTTGACGAATCTTGGCGCGTCAGAGCAACGATAATTCGGGCGAGTTTATCTTCGTACCTGAACACAATCTGAGTGTCAACAAGAGCACGAGATGCGTGATAAATATAGCACCCGCCATTTCTATGCGCGTCAAAACACTGGGCCGACTGGACTGACTGGACTACTCCGGACTACTCGGCTCAAAGCGAAATTGCATAAAAATAAATCTCTCGCGACCTCCGTGCCGCACTCGTCATCCTCGCAGTTGCCTCCCTCGACTCGGCACGACACTCTCGAGCGTGGAAACGCGCGAATCTGTCATTCGAGTAACGAGAGCGCCCGCTCCATTCACGTCGGACACATAGTTTTCGGAGCATCGACGTCCCAGGGAGGCTCGAGCTATATCATATCTCTCGTACGGCGGAGACCGCGGTCTTGTCGCGCACCTCTCTGAGAGGAGAGTCCGCCTGGCTAGCGCTCCATTTTCTTACGAGTATATTTAATTATGCGTGTATATATAGTTTCGCCTAATCTGCTGTTTGTTCTTTAAACTTGCGCTTAATCTCCCACGTATATATCGGGCACAAATGTTAAAATGTCAGACACACACAATTCTCGGCCACGGCGCACGAAAATCGAGACGCGACGCGAGTGCGCGAGCATGCGCGGGAGCCACCGTGTCCGGATTGGAGGGAGGAGCTCGGCCAATTGGGACGTCGATTGGCCGAGCTTCGACTTCGAATTGGCGATCCTCGACGGGGGCTTTACGGGAATTTCCATGAATTGCCCCGCGGCCTGAAACGCACCTTCCGACAAGCTGTGCTCGGATAAACGTGAAATAAGCGCGCGATGCGATAAGCAAGGACACGCTTTGCCGTTGCTCTCGATCCGCCGCGCGCGTGCGAGCGTAAACAGCTGACCGGCTGGGGTGACGAGCTCACGAGGGTCCGTCTTAATCGTGCCCTCTCCTCCGCGATCGCCGATCCCAGGAATCCCAGGATCGGTGCGACTGGCTGACTGGCGACTGGATCGGGGAAAGCTCTGTTAGCGGCTGTTGGTTAACCTTGGCTGTAACGTCGGGGCCGTCGGGGAGGCATCTGATTCGCGAGACAGCACAGTCAGTGTACTTAATTCGACTTAATTGACGAGGCGGCGTATGGTCGGTGTATGCCTTGGTGCACGTCTCGGAGTATCAACTTGGAGCCCACCTTTATGGAGCTAATAATATTAGCGCGTGACACAGTTATGAAGCTGTTGCACTCGTAATCGTCGCGCTCACGCTTGTTATGCGCTCTCCGAGATATACCGTCGGCCCGAGTCTGATAACCTTGAATATATCGGCGATCGCGAGTCGGCAACATCGGCACCGAAGCTAAGCCCCGCGAGCCTCGAGCGCGAATAGTGAGGGGGCGAGAGGGGCCGAGGAGAGGTGTCAGGAGGGAGGCTGGGCGCTAACCTAAGATGCGAACGTCCGTGAACGTTGACGCGCTTATATTACTGGCCATTCATCTCTCGTACTGGTCCCTCGGCACGGTAGCGGCTAGCGGCGGAGCTCTCGACTCTACCCCGACCTTCCAAACCAGTGCCTCGAGCACTCCACATTCCAAGATAGCAGCCGCCTTCTCCGCCACCCTTACCAATGGACTGGCCCAGGCGGTGGCACACGAATCCAGTAAGTCGCTCGCACGAGCCAGCTCCGCTCTGGTGTAATCGAGCGTCTCCTTTCTTGTTCTCAGCTACAGACACCTGCAACGACGACCTAGCGTGCATCACCATGGCTTCTCACGACCGATTAGGCTTGGAGGCTATCAAGTCCCTCCACAGCCAATTGGACGACGACGCCAACGGCAACGTCGACTTATCTGAATCGGATGACGTAAGGATATATACTTGTATCTCCCGCATTTCTTACTCTAAGCGCAATTGTTTTACAGTTTCTGAGAGAGGAGCTGCAGTACGAGGCTGGTTACGAACGGAGACAGAGGGCTTTCCACCACAATGACGATATGCATATTAGTGTGCGAGAACTCTGGGAAGCCTGGTTGCGATCAGAAGTACGGCCGCCAGATATCTTTCTCATTTGCAACTACGTTGCACGTATACGAAACAGAATCTTGCAATTTTGCCCTTTCTCTGCGCTAGGTTCATAACTGGACTATCGAGCAAACGTCAGAATGGCTAACTTCCAACGTTGAGCTTCCTCAATATGTTCCTACTTTTATACAGCACCGTGTGACCGGTGCTACGCTTCCTCGGTATGTTTAGTCGGAATTGGATGTATCGTTGCTCGAGTTGCTAAAGTTTGATATTGAAAATCCTTGAAACGAAAACACTCCTTTCAGATTAGCTGTGAACAATATGCATTATCTTAGCAATGTTTTGGGCATCAAGGATCCTATCCACAAGCAAAAAATTGCTCTTAAGGCAATGGACGTTGTTCTCTTTGGACCCCCCAAAGGTGCAATTTAATATTACGTCTACAGCGCTCCGTAGTATAATTTCTTTATATCTTTAGATCTAATGTAACTAAAGCTCGTGTAACAATTAATAATAGATACGGGACATAATATCAAAGATTTGGTACTGGTTACGTTATTATTTGGAGCACTTATTGGATGCTGGTACGCGTATCAACAAAAGAAAAATTCACAAAAGCATCTTCATAGAATGATGAAGGACATGGAAAGTTTGCATAAAGCAGAACTCGCGCTGGAAAATTTACAGGTAACTCGTTCTGAAGGTTCCATCGAGTTCAAGATGGATACGTTTAACTAGAAAATTTGATTAACGTTGCATTACGTGTAACCAATTGCAGAAAGAACTGGAAAGAGCAAGAATGGAACAAGAAAGTGCGGCTACCGAGAAGCAAAATTTGGAAAAACGTTTGCAAGACGAAAGCTTGGGATTACATACTTCGTACTCGGATCTTGAAGTGTCGCAATTGAAAGCGGAAATCGAAGTTAATCCCATTCTACGTTTACTCTATATACACGCACACACACATGATGTAAATTAATGTGTTCTTTTCATCAATTTATACATCTTGCAGATGTTGAAGTTGGAATTGCAACGTGCTGAGGGTGAGCTCGAAGACAGGTGCTGGTCACCACCAGCCGGATTGCAGCACTGGCTACAAATGACTCATGAAATTGAGAACAAGGCATATACGAATAAAAAGATATCAGCCGAAAAACAACTTCAACAAGCACGAGAAGCGGTAAGAGAACCAACTTTCTCGCAATTATTTCATACGCTCAATTCGATACATTTGTATTAGATTATATTTGGCTCGTTTAGCTTAACATTTTATTGGCTTTTTTTCATCGTTGCAGTGCGAAAAATTGCGAAAGAAACGTTCCAGCCTGGTGGGTGCTTTTGTTTCGACTCATGGGAAGTCTATCGACGATGTCGATAAGAGCATTGTTGAAGCAAGAACCTCATTGAATGAAGTGACAAACGAGTTGAAGGAAAGAGTACATCGTTGGAAGCAGATTGAATTACTCTGTGGTTTCAATATAATTAACAATAATGGTTTAAATTACCTGGAGACAGTTTTATACCGAGGGACACCGAATGGTAGAGGTCTCGGGCTCAGAGGTATCTAATCCTGTATTAAGTAACGTAATATTATTCATTATCGATTCTCGCTGAAGGGATTTGATCATGTTATGGTTCGTTGCAAAGTTCTAAAGGATTTGTGCATAATTTATTGCAGGACGACTTAGTAGCCAAGATGATTTAGATGACGAGGCGAGTTCGATGTACGCATCATCGTCGGTCAGTGCAGTCGCTGCAGGTACGGATTCCAATGAGTACTTAGATTGATGTACCAATGCTCATTTTACTGTTATCATCGTGGCCTGTTTTATATGTCACATATATATACATCGACCACATGATGTTGAACCCTTTTTGACGATCGTTTACTAATGAGTTGAATTCTGTGTCTAATAATAGAGGAAATATTTTTTGTAGCATTGATAGCTTTATACCAATATAACTGACATATAACATAATAAAATTTCCATAATTTGTTAACATTGAATATTATGTACCTTAGGTGTACATTGTAACCACTATATAATAACGCGGCTAACATATGTACACGAGGAATGCAGAATGCAATCCAATTTTGCATATGTTGCCCGATAAGTAAGAGATTATGCAACAAGTAATAATAAATGATGCCATTATTGTGCCAAGATATGCCAATGTATCAATTTTTGGGATATGTGATATGTCAGAGGGACAGAGTAAAAATTAATTTTACGAATACTCATAAATCGGTTAAATTAAGGTACACCTGAGAGAAAGGTGTTACGTCAAAACAAATAAGAGTGCAATTATAAGTATAAACGCATAAAATGTGAGAGTTGTGGAAGCTGCTGTGTCCATGTATCTATTTTGTTTTATACATAATCGGCTCTTTTACGTTTGTCGCTTTCTTAGAGACTATATTTTCTTAAGGTACTATTTTAACCTTGGTGATTTGGTTCAATACTAAGTCAATTTACTAAGTGATATACCTCACATGTAGTATTTTTATTATTATAACGTACTTGATGTCATATGTAAAGAAAATTATTATGATTTCTCTTGAAAATGTTCAATTACATTCCAGTTATCTAACCTTCTAACACTAGTATTAGATCTGATTGCAACATATACATGACAATAGCTTGAAAATTATTGATTGATTAGAATACCACTTGTATGGATACGACACAAAGCAAAGTATTTCATTGTATACATAATGGGCAGTTTTATAATGTGTATATAGATACGAATCTCTTACAATCTCATGGAGGAAAGTTACATATTCAAATGTGCAATAATTTCTTTTTATCGAGAAACATATTTTGAATTCGTATAAATCTTGATATAAAATGTGATATAGGATCATAAAACCGTCGACAATCAATGTATTATGGGCATTGTATAATATATGTAAATAAGATATACATATGTATACAGATACAATATTTTTAGGATCAATTTTATTAACCAAATACTTAATTGAATTGCGTGCATATTTAAAAAAAGCTTTGTACCTTGTCTCAAATGTGTCTTGTTGCGACACACATTGTTATTCCCAAAGAACCAAAGTGTAAATCCAGTCTGTTATCCAGTTGTAAACGATTACCAATTAGGATTTAAATTGTTGCCTCGAAAATAATTTTGTAAGGCGTGTATCAGTTATATACTTGTCAAAGAAACGATGCCTTAAAATGTATTCCATATATATGTATATTACAGTGAGTTTGGTGAGGTTTTATAAAAAGTACATAACACAATGGCGTTATTTTTCTGTATGAAACATTTAGTAATCGCTATTAATAAATTCAAGCGAGTTTGGAAAAATAAGAATATATGGGCTTATTAATATGACCTATATTGAACTCTAGTGGTACTCCGGCTCGTTGCATGTTTTTTATTCCAAAGTCTAGCGCATATTCAATTGCTAACATAGTATTAAATAATGGACAGTCAAACGTATACTTGTACATACTGTTTAAAGCTGTAATTTGTCGATCAGCTTCCTCTCGTTATTTCTCACTACAGCTTTGCAAAGATGATGTAGAGTGTACGCTTTTTGTAGATTTGTGGATAAGACACGTTGAAAAGTGGACTGGTACTAACTAACGTAGAAAACTAACTCGAGTAAAAAGTTACCTTACAAATAGACTAACACTAACAATCAATCTTATTCAACTCAAAATTCTATATATTGCTGATGAATTGCGTGAGAAATGAATCACCACTTTGCTCTAGTGCAAGTTCGTACATATAGAGGAAATATGTAGAAATAGTTGAGAAAAATTTTCCACAACGCGAGCGTCTCGTGTAACTTGCAATGTGTCAAAGCGACGCACACAAATCGAAGCTTTCATTAGTACCATTGTCCTCTTAGCGATAAAGAAAGAATTTAGACATCATATAGTTGGCATATTCGTAGGTATTTCGGAGAATTCAGCGTGGAAGGAATCATCGGTACCGCCCGGTGGCCGATTTGGAAATGAACTCTCCGATTCTTCGAGCAGCGAAGCGGAGAAAGAAACACTCGGGGTCGTCCACTTTGTGCTAGGTGATGGACCAGAAGAACCCGTTGGAGCCTCCGGAAAAACTGCGCCGTACAAAGAAAAGTCCAGCATTGTACGTTCTTACAGCCAGGACACAAACATACTGGTTAGCGAGGACAAGGCTTTGTCGGTTCTGCCGAAAACGTCGTATTCGGAAAATTCACTCGACATCTCGGATAGGTCCAGTTGTCGTCCTGCAACAGCGGCGGCGGCGACGACGACGACTACAACTACAGGCGCCAAGAAATTATTTAAAGAATTACCTACGGTAATGTCAGTCGACGATGAGACACTCTCGACCGATTCCAATTCTACCGCCGACAACGATGAACTTAAACGAAGGCGCAGAAAGCTACACTTTCCAGCCTTTAGAAAGAACAAAACTAAAATTACGTGATGTCCGCTAGTCACATAATCTCATTTGTTACTTAATTGCTATCCGTTACAATTAGTTGTAATCGCGACATGCACTTGAGAATTATTTTACCAGTAATTATTAATTGTTAGCTACTATTATTCACGCGACAGACGCAATACACAGACAATATATAAAACATACACGTACACTCTCTTTCTCTTACTGGGTTTTTTTTTCTTCCTTTGCGCGCGTATAAACTCACGGAAATGTAACGATCGTTCAGGATGTTTGTTGACCCCGGTGTTCCTTCCACTTTGCCAAACTTGCGTATGCGCAAAATAATAACGAGACACAAGTCAACGGATACACCACGGAAAGACATCCGACCTAGATAAATAGATTTTTAGAATTGCAATATTGAAAAGTTTTAATATTGTGGCAATATATATTTTCGGTATGTACTTTTTAGGAGACTAAACGTTCTCCAAGCCGCAAACTTTTATGAAATAAGATTTTTTCACGATGACGCTAGTAATAATAATAATTATCGTTAGTGTAATCTTTTTTATCCGCGATTTAATTCCGTAGCTTTAGTCATCGTCTAGATACTGGACTGGGCACAAATTTAATGTTGAGAATACACCCAGCTCTCTTTTCACGTTCCGCGAAAGAAGAAATCACATTATTTGTGATAAAACCGTGCGCATTCTGTTAAGTTACTTATATGATTGACAATGAATTTGACAATTTTTCGATAATTCATCATTAAGAATTGCCAGTAAGATCTGTATCTGTACATATGTATACACGAGAGATTACAAGAAAGTTTTCGCAAAATTACGCGCAAGCAAGAAGCTGCGTAAAAAGAGAGTCGGGCGTAGACCCTTGTCCGTGTGTCATTTGCTTTTACGTATCATATTATGAGGAATGATGCACAAAGGCAACATGGTGGCAAGGGTGTCCTCGTAAAATGATATTCAAGTTATTCAAATTATCGTTAATTCTCGTACCGTCCGTATATACTGGCAATACATGTGAGTTACTTGGGCACTTTGGCAAAGCGAAAACGTTATAATACAAATTTTATACATTTGTACAACGTGTACTTGTATGTAAAGTAGATTGTTAAGTACCGTGCAAGATTTTATCGCAAACGCGCGCTTAAATAATAGCAAAATGACTTTTTCCATATCTTTGTACAGAGACATATCCCAACAGACAACATTGGAATTTCCACTTGAAACCTTGTAATTTTCCATTGTCTAAATTACATCTTCAAACTGTAAAGATCTTTATGCAAGTATGTATAATATTCGTTAGATTCTTAAAAGATTAGCTGTACAGTCGTATGCTACACAGTCGTATAGAATTTTCAGTAAATTTAGATTGTTTCAGAGTGAGCAATTTCAAAGCCCTGTTTCTTTCCATATGTTTTTGCTTTAAATCTTTGACGCCGCTAGAACGTAACTATATTATTGTGTACATACATAGACATAACTGATATATTTTAACGTCTTTACAACTTCACTTTTTAATGCACCTATTGTCAGCTTAGAATCAAATGACTTGCAGAATAACTTACATCATAGTGAGTCTGGAACTGGTAATTACTCTGGTAATTTTAGTGATTTCTTAAAAAAATTGCCGCTTATTTTACGCTCGCGCGAACGCGTTATTACAATTATATAACAGTTTCTCAACATGCTAGATTCGTTTGCAGATGATGTTTTGTCACGTTAGTCTATCTGAATCGTATTGAATTCTATGCCTTTGTGACATGCTCAAATAGTCGTACCATTTCCGTCTTTATGACAAATTTATTTTGAGTAACTTTGGTAAACATTTGTAATTATGTGATCAAACTGACATAATTTCAGTATAAAGATTTAGAACGTTTCAAATTATAAACTTGTGATTTTTTTTTCTAAAAACAATATGATTAGCTAATAATTATATAACATGCTTTGTATTAATTTTGTATAACGACAAGTAATTCTTTAGAATGCTGTATCGTTAGCAATTTGCTCAAATTTGTCATCTTTGTACAGAAATTTATGAACCAATTAAAAAAATATACTATGAGACTGAAATGTGTCAGCTTTGTCACAAGTATGGTCGTTAGCCCTCCATAAAACGTTCTTCCTTAGAGATTTTTGAAGCAATGAATCTATATCTACAAAGGACAGTTTCTAAGGCTATGTATATTACCTCTATATGTTATTTTGAAATGAATGATAGATCTGACCTTATTACCTATTAAGCAGTATGAGTAAAGTTATACGAGGATTTGATTCGCACTGCGTATTTGCACTCCGTACAAATCTTCGTTGAAGTTATACATATAATACATAAATAGATATAATTTTATTAGTATATTCGTATTTAAATTATTATATTCTTGATATAATCTTATGGTGTCGCTTGCAAATGCAATGCAACGTCTTCCTTGGTACATTTTACAGAAATAAATGAATCAAGTTTAAAGAATTGCCAAACAAATAACCGAACGTACATAAAATAAAGTAGAATTACATTTAAAAAAAAAATGCATTCTTTTCACACGTATGGACTCGTCGAAAGTTGTTTTATAATTTGCCTCTTATATCCATTTTATTTCTATTATTTTACAGATGTTACTAATCCACCAATTGTCGACTAAAAAATACTTATTATCAATCCATCGTTTTCACAAAGGTTTTATTTGATTTTATTTAACATCACACATGCTGTTATCAACTACTTCTAACAAATCACTCGGAAAAATTCACAATTATCGATTAATCATTTTGATATTATTAATTGTAATTCGTTTACGCGAATTTAGATTTAGATTTTGAAACGTACATAAAATGGCCTTGTACGCAGAATTTACATTAGATAGCGATAAACGCAACGTCATTCATACAGTAAAATATATAATCTGCCAATATATAAATAAGCATCCCACCGTCAACATTCAAATACTGCGTAAGAGGTAAATTGCGATTTGGCTCAAAATCTTATACTAGGACGGTAAGACCGTTGCGATAGTTTTTGTATAGATTTATTTGTGTATGTAAGTCATAATATCATTACATACACATATATATACATAATGATATTATATATGCATACATGTAGAGTTCGATGTACAACAGCTATCGAATGACTACTCGCTACTGGGACTAGTAGCTTAAAACTCTTTGACCCAAGATCGGCGTAAATTGTAAATAGTACAGAGTTAAAAAACTCAATCAGTCTTATAACGTAAAAGTATAAATATATAACATATACGTGCATATACATGTACGAACGGACGGACTACTTCGTTAGACGTTTATGCAATTAACCGAAATGGATCATGTCCGACAAACCCTATTACGTTTCGTCGCGAAAAACGATTGCACTTATTAAATTCGCCAATGACTTGTTAATAATTCTTTAGATGTATACCGTTGGTATTCCGTTAATATCTCGTTAGCATTTTCGTGAAAATATACAAATAACATTGAATAGAAAATGAGAGACGCGTATTTGGAACCGCGTCGTGATAACATACGCTCGTTACGCCTGGCACGTTCTCGTTCTCTACCTCGCTTTAAGCAACAATTTTAAACATGTACAAAACGCCATAAATATATAAATACACACTACACAGGTATACCAGCGAAGATTGTTAATACTGAATTTGCTCGAAGAATTCGCTCGACGAAAATATACTTAAAAAATGCGACGCATATTACATATGTATAATACATAAAAATATAAATGGTATAGCTAGAAATATTTAATTCGTCGGTATATTCTCGTCGTCTTGTTGATCGCTGGTCTCAGCCGCGGAAGGTATGGTGGCGAGTAGCCTAACGGCCAGTCTGCCCGGAGACCCTGGAGGCTCCGGCTCCTGAATGGCGAGTTGACGAGTTAATCGCGGCTTCGGTCTGATCGGTCTCGGCGTGTTACGCGCGCTAATTTCTAGAGAGGCACTGGATCTCGAGATGCGCCAGGTACTGGTGCTGGCAGTGGTCGCGGAACCGGAAGAGTCGTTCCGCGAGGAGCTTAAATTGGAATCCTGCGACGGTTTCCTAGTGATCAGCCAAGAGGAAGTCCTCCGTTTCGGATCTAGCAGTCTGAGCGGAATGCCGCAGTGGTGCGTCTGCCGCCAAGAATCCGATCTGGACGAGGAGAAATTTTCGCTGGACGACACCGAGGACGCCCGTTTGTGCTGTTTCTGTTGAATCTGGGCGATTTGATAGGCGTACTGATCGGTGCGCGCGTGCCGTGGCCGGGAATCGCGTGTGCACGGCCAGAACACACCGGCGCTCCACCAACGGTAAGACGAGCAACGGCTCTCGGTCTCCAACAATCTCGGGTTACAGGTGCACGGTGTTTGAACTCCCTGGTTCTCTCGCGACGATCGATCGACGAGACTGTTCGTATTGGCGGGCGTTTGCCGATTGCTAAAATTCGAACTATGTCGGCACCTGCCGATACCTCGAGTTACACGCGACTCTTCGATCGCCTTGCATATCAACACGCAATCCTTCTTGAATTGTTTCGTGAGGATCGCGTAGAGAAAAGGATTGCAACAAGAGTTTAGCGGCAGCACAAATACCGCGAAAACTTTCGCTTGCTCCAGAGACACCAACTGCAGCCCGAAGGTCGCCGTGAGAGAGAAGAAGGCTATCGGTGACCAGCAGAGGAAATCGGTGAAGACGAGCAACGCCATTCTCTTTGCTATACGAGAATCGTTTGAATTCCATGCCTGGGAGCCTCGTATCGCGCAGTACATCTTCAAGTAGCATCCCATTAATATCAGAAAAGCCACTCCGTTAATGAGCATGAGAAATACTACGTACGCGAGTGCCGCGCTGCCATTGGTTTCAAATGGCAGACAAATTGCGAACTTTCTGTAGTCCGAAACTCCCAATAGCGGCAGACTCGCCATGCATAGGGCGAAACACCATCCTATCGTCATAATGTAGCCTGCGTGCTTCAACGAGAGCCGCTTGTTCAGATGCATCGCGTGCGTTATCGCGTAATTCCTCTCGAGAGTAATCACGGCAAGAGTGTACACGCTCAGTTCGGAGCTGAGGACTCCCAGGAAGCCAGCCAGCTGACATCCGGCCGACATTTGCCACGGTATCGCGTACATTCGAAACTCTCCCAATGTCGATGCATCAACAACAGCCAATAAGCCTGCACAAATGCACATCACATGTTACATTTATATCGTCGAGTGTTGGAAAGTTGGAAGTAATACGTAAACTTATTAAATATGGGAGAAACATGAGAGAAATTTACCTAGATAAACACCCATGAAAAAATCGGCAGCGGCTAAATTGCAGACTAAGAATCGTGGCACATCCATCTTGCTTCTCGAGAATATTAAGACAAACACCACGGTGCCATTCCCGAGCATGGCAAGGAGGAAGACTATCCATACACCGCACCGTAAAGTCCACCAGTCGAATAAGTCTTGGCACGGTAGGAAAGGACCTGAAAATTTCACATACATACGTGAGTACATGCGAATTAATTACACGGATGAAATATTTAATACTGTCGTACCGGGTTGCGGCAAGCATTGGATGCGAGAGGGTACAGTCCGACTGGTCGATGTCGTTCGACCGTCTAGATTTTCGAAATAATCCTCTACGTAGGAAGGCAAGTTTCCAGGGTAGGTAAAATCTGAACCAAAATTAGCCCAAAGTTCATTTATCTGCGATCCAAATTTATCAGTCAAGTTATCTAAGAAGGGAAAAACGTTATTATTTTAGTAGCGCAAAGATCATTGATGAATTATGATACTACGGATACGATGATGTGACGGACGAAAAACATATTTTGTAATCTCTGACCAATTGTGAGATTATTGCAAATGATTTTCAATGATCGAGTGACGACAAGCATCGAAAGTACAAGATACAAAGGGTACAAAAGGTGGAAGAGGTCGTAAGGGGAGAGAACGTAGAGAAACAAGTTACTTACTCAATTGTGGCCAGATATCGCTAAATGTCGAATTCCATAAACTAGTATCGAAATCGTCGGTAGGAAACAAAATTGATTCCTGTACCGGTGATTTTGTGACAGATTCCTCTACTTCGAGCGAGAGAAACGAACAACAATGATAAGCGTATGACAGCAACATTGTTTGTACTCGCGGAAATCTGTCGGGAGATGGAAACTCTCGCAATGCAGGATTATTAAACGTCTTGAGGTGCAATAATCCCGCGAGTCCTCTTATCGGCAGTGTAGGGAAAACATTATTTCCTAAATTTCTACAAATAAATATCTGAATATTAAAATCGATTTGTAAAACATATGAGAATGGTACAATGCGAATTATGCAGATACGCTTACAAGTCTTGCAACCGTTTCGTTTCTCTGAACGCATCAGGATGTATATATTCGATATAATTATTCTCCAAGTCTCTAAAATGTGATTAAATTGAAATGTAAGTGATTAGGAGAGACTACAGGAGTAACTTGACGAAGCTGCGCACTTACAAAACTTGGAGTCTAGATAATCCGGTAAAAGCGTCACTGGAAATGCTCTGCAAGTTATTGTTGGACAAGAGTAGATCGTGCAGCATATTCAAACCTTTAAAAGAATCGTCGGGTAATGAAGAAATCATATTACTGGCTAAATCCCTAAAAAGATGAGATACACTGTCTTCGACATTCAATGTTTCACACACGTTGGGTTATTATACACAAGTATATCTGCATATCACGTTACATACTTACAAAACACGAAGTTCATTACAGTTTCGTAAATTTGGTATCTCTGTCAACGAATTGGATTTCATGTCGCTAAAAACAGAGACAGAGCACATGTATACATTAATGCGATACACATTAGCAGAAATGGTCATTGTCAAAAAGGAAAGACGATTTCGATTCAACTTACAGACTTTTGAGTTTCGGGCACTGTCGGCAAAGATTAGAAGGAACCTCCTTCAATTGGGAACGATCTAATCTCAATACTTCCAAGGACGCTGCTCCATTTAGATTGGGAAAAAGCCGTAATTCTTTCACGTTCGACAATATTCTACAATTGATGAAAAAATTATACCGTGTAATAATTTCGTTTATCGTATACGCTAGTTTCCGCTAGATGCAGACTGCGATATATGTATAATACACAATGGTTGGAAATAAATTACTTACAACTTACGAAGTTTTCCAAGATTTTGGAAGGTTTCGTCGTGTATCTCCTTAATAGGATTTCCGCGTAAATCGAGCGACACCAAATTATTAGCGTAGCGCAACGCATCTTTCGTGAGTCGTTCTATTTTGTTATTCGATATAGACCTAGAGAGAAAATAACGAATTGAGGAAAGGCAAGCGGACGAAAAGATATTTCAATGATATAAAACTAACGAGTTTATAAACAGATTTTATACAAATAGGCACTTACAATTCTTCGAGGCTTGGTAGATTTAGAGCAGCGGCTGGTATCTTTCTTAAATAATTTTCATCGAGTTCCCTGAAGACAGGAAGAATGAAAGATATCATGTTATGGATAAATTGTTGACTTGATAGTAATTTTCATATACTTACAATATACGAAGATTCGGTAAGTTTATAAACGCGTCATCGTGAATGGCACGTAGGTGATTACGTCGAAGAAATCTAAAAATAAAGATACATGTGTATATGTAGCGCGTAACGACACCTTCAGATTCCATATCTTCCTTCCATCTACATTTCGTCTCATAATTATTAAATATACGCATACTTACAAAATTTCGAGATTGGGAAATTGGAAAGCATGTACTGGAATGTCCGTTATATTGTTGTTGGTCAAATCACTGAAACAATCACGAGATCTATCTATAAAATTGCATATTACAACAAATACAGCAGTTAGACATTAAAGACGTAATATGAAAAGGTTTCTCACACGTTTTAACATTGTAAATTGTTCATGTCACGGAAAATTAAGGATTGCAACTTTCTGTTTTCGCGTAACAAAATTTGCAAAATCGAAAATGTCATAGCGGGTCATCGGGAGACGTTTTTTAGAACTTGGAGTGAAAAAGACAGACTGTAAAAAAAAACAAGGTCCTAGCGTGTGTACAATTTTATCTTCCCACTTATACCCGTCGATTAACATCGGCACAGCGCTTTTACATAAATGAGCCCGGGGCCTGATAAAAAGAAATAGGACAATACCGAGAAAACTGGCGATTCGACACTTTTATTCTTTTACTCGCACGAGCGACCGGATCGAGGGGGACAGAGACCGAGGGTTGCGTGAATTCTGGCCATTTTTATGAGTTCTTCGACCTCTCTTACTCAGGGCGGATCGATCTCTTATCCGTTTACCAAACGGGACGAAGTAGCAGCGCTTTATGGCTATATTTTATATAACAATAAAGAGAGAAAAGTTGACTGCCATAATGCAGAATGTTTACAATGATTAATTTAAAGGAAATTTATAATAAATACAAAAGTAAGACGGAAATCTCTATAGTATGTTCGTGTAAGATTATCGCCGCGAAATAGCTAACACTTGCTCGACACGACAATTTTACTCGCACGCAACTATCCACTTATTCGGGCTTGCTCGATTTGTTGTTACTCTTACTTGGGCACACAACGCTCTTTCCCACTACTCCTAATCATCTACTCGGTATTTTTCAAGAAACTCAATTTTAATCGTAAAATATATTTTTTAAACATTGTGAGATGCTTTCGATAGAAAGATGTGGGACGATTCAGTTGCTCGCGATCCACGCATACGCATACGCATACGTTGTGTCAGTGAGCGTACAGTATTTTTCCTCTCGTTCATTCGTCTTAAAATAGAAAAGGTATAACCAGCGGTGTCTTACGATACTTTAACGCACGCTTTTTTTGAAGTTCCAACGGCGAACTTTCTCGGCGCGCACGGACATTGGGTTCTAATTACGCTTTCGTTCGGGATCATGATTCCGTTACGGGTGGACCTTTGAAAACTTTCGATATTTCATACTCAAGGACAGCTTGAATTTACCAGTCTTTGTACACCTGAGATATTGAGGAATATTATACATCTGCAATATACATATGTATAACGTACATTATTGTAAAAGGATCCCCACTTGTCGCGTTATGAATAACAGAGAATTACTTGAAACAATTTTCGGAACAAAACTTGTTCGATACTTTCGCAATAATAATATAATAAGAGTCGCAGTGGCAAGAATGGCTTGCGAATCTCGGTTGCTTTCATAATTTTCAAGCAAAATTAATCAAGTTTGGGAATGAAATTATTTTCGCAATAGGTGTCACGGTCGCACCGTCGCGAAGGAAACGTGAAGAGAATGACGAACGGCACATTTTCCGTATTCTCGCGATATTAACGAACGAACGTTACAAACGTATAGAAAACAATGTATCAATATAAATTACGCAGTAGAACCGAGCCCTGTGACTGACAATAAGAGAAACAGCGCAATAACCGAGATATTATTTCGAGGTCTGTCTCTTCTTCTTTTCTATTTTGTCAGAAAAGAGCCCAACTGTTATTTATCGGCGAATTGGCAGTTTTACAAGTTTCAATAAAATGGAAAGAAAGGCCAGCAGGTGACCGGAAGCTAACTGCGTGAAGAAGCAGAGTAGAATCGAGAATAAGTTTTGCTCATCGATCCTAAATCGCGATCTATAGAACATTGACTGTCGTTTCGCTCGGTATGTAGGTCGCATCGTGGTGTATGTGTCAAGTATGGCGTTACTCCTTTTATATTTTTTTTCCCTTCTTTCTCTATCATTCGATCGAAAGTTTTCGCCCGATTACTCTCGCACGCGGACAGACGCGGTTGGCAAAAATAGCAAGCTGGAGAAGATTAGTTATTTGCACGTTGTTTGCATCGCTCTCTTACGTCTCGTTTATCGCGAGATGCAGAGACACTTAAAAGCAAGGATACAGAGCGGTTTCTTTCAGCTGCGAAGACGGGCCCGCAAGGCCTAGAGTCGTATGTAGGGCACGCGATGACGGGCGTCCGTTACGTTTACCTTCTAGCTGCGATTGCAAAGATGAATTGACGCGACTTACACGGTCATTTGGTACAACAGTTAAGTAGCCTGACGTGCGACATTTTCACGTTTGAGAGAGCAGAAGCGGGAACGTTTCGTTTATTAAGGAAAATTGGCGAGATTGTCAACACGCAGGTAGAGAGGCCATTTCTCTGCGCAACGTAGTCGACACAGTCGTGATTGATGCAAAGTCGCCAAGTACTCACATCTTGGTAACGTTAACAGGAACAATGGCTTTCAATAAATCAACATCGTAGATGAGTTGAACGACGAGCAGATTGGCGCCGCGGCACAGCAGCTCTCGTCCTTCGGCGACGACGTTACACGGGATTACGTGTTCCGGCGTGCCGCTCCGGCAGCAGTGAATGATCGCCAGGAGGACGACCGCAATCCCGTTGCGACGAGACCGCGTGCACATACCGGTCGACCCTGTGCCCGTCCGCCCGCGTAATTCGCTCTCGCAGCTCTCTTCCCCGCCGGATACGTCGCGCCCAGGACCAAGTCACCTCACCATTCTGCCCCGCGTCGTCCGTTGACATCCGTACGTCCGCGGTCCACGTCCGGGCCCGCGTGCAAGCGGCCGACCATCAATGACGGTAGTGAACTCCATAAGTAGCCGCCCTCGTAGCAGCTCTCACTCTCGTCGCCGTCGTTAGCGCCCCTGACACCACCGTCGTCAGCAGCAGCAGCACAACCACCACCGCCACTGCACCCGCCACCGTTGCCGCCGCGCCTCGAGGGGAAGGAGCTGTCCCAGGCTGGCTGAACAATTGCGATCTTCGGTTCCGAGGAGAGACTCCGCCGCTCGCTCCACGGCGCATTTGCCAACTGATCCGATATTTCGCACAGTTCTTACACGGATTTCGTACATCGCGCATCCCCCCTACTCATCCCGCCATCCCGTCCCACTCGACACCCACCCTGCTTCGCTCGACTTTCTCGACTCCGATCCTGCCGCGCGCGACGCACGCGACATGCGACGATCCGGTTGTATGTCGACCGGATATAATTTGCACTGAAAATTAAACTATTCTGCACATTCATATTCCTTTCCATCGCAAGTATCGTCGCGGCTGTCGCAACTCACGATATTCCTTCTCGGCTCTCGTCTCATCCTCGCTTCAAACGTATTCTTCTTCGCTGCAGCCATACTGAATTGTATCAGAATTGACGAGTGCGAAAGTTGTCTGAACCCGGCAAACCCTGCAAACCGAAACCAACGAATTTTACCGCACGCCACTACTTGCGTTTAACAATAAACAATTTGATAACATACGTGAGATGATATTAAGACAGGATTCCCTTCTCCTTTATTATCCTATATTAATAAATGGAACAAATGCACGTACAATTTCGCCCTTCGTATGTTCCTGCGTCCAGCGAGAAACACATCTCGCGATGAGGATAATAATAATAGATAATCAGAATGAGAGCTGTTTACTAACCCGCGATGCTTCATTCCGAGAGTCTCACTCGATGGTGGGATTTCCACGTACGTAAATACCTACAACAATTATAAACTTGAGAACCAATGGCGGTTACGTGCGTGTGACACACATTTCACTTAAGACGCGTGCGTTTTGAAGGAGACGAATTGGACACTGTCGAGCATCACTTACTTACTCCAAGTACGTTAGTCATTTTGTTACCAATTGTAATTATTGTAATTAGGTCTGCTTATCCAGATGAATCCAGATCCCGTGGCGTTGCCCTAGCCTAGCCAATTTGAATTTTCACTGTTTTACCGACACAGGGAAGGCGTAGGTGTCGGTAAAACATGTGAGCATTGACAATTGTATAGTCCTGCCCTCTTGAGCTGTTTTCTGTAATATCAAAATAATCCCTCTATCGGTAACTACATAAACACAAATCCAACCTTTTCAATAGCTGCTTCCCAGATAGCTATTTCCTTTTACACTCAAGTGATACTGAGGATGTGTTCGAAAATGGATTTAGTTACTGCCAGTGAAAACAGTATAGTTGGTAGCAATGAAAATTACTGGTGCTGCGTTTTTCGCACGCCAGTAAAGTCAGTAT